TTGGGTGAAAATTTAACTGATTTTCTTCATCGCTTCAAAGTTAAACGTCAAGGCGTCATTTTCAGTGCGTGTGTAAACAAATTCACATACGCACTGAAAATTACGCCTTGATGTTTAACTTTTATCTGTCACATTATGTCATTTATTTCAAGATGGCGGGGGTATGGGCGCGTTCTTGTTTTGTAAACGTAAAATGTGCTCCTTTAACCTCTGATTGGGTTGCAATGAGCACCTTTTAAGCTAGTTCGTTACGAAATGAGCTCTTTTTATTCCTTGACGTGTTTTTTAATATTGAAGATTACAAAGCAATGGGCCCTTTTTAGTTTGTTTTGAATATGTCATATCAAAGGCCTGTTCAAAATCTATCAAGTGCGATCATTTTGTTTGATTTCGTATAAATTGTCGATGAGCCCCTTTTTTCCCTGTACCCTTCAAATTCAAATATTTAATATATGGTTCGAAAATAGGTAAAACATTTTTTATTTTTTATTTGATATTGAGAAGAAGGGCTGTCTGTACCAAAAGGCGCGCAATCATCCCTTTTAAATGAGCATATACTGCACAAGCATTGTGTCTTTAAGTTGTCTGAAAAGCTGCAAAAAGATTTTGTTACCATTTCTCCAGATACAGGTGATTTATGATATGTCACGACAGTATGCAATGTCACTTGTTGCTGAGAGGCGCCGAAATGCACCGATTGAATTTCTTGATTATATTTACACGTATAATTTTCCGAGAAATCCATATGGATTAATACTTCACCGTGTGGTACATTTTTACGTAATTCGGTTACGGTTTTCGATTGATCGTCCCAAGCATGTTTGTGCTTCAAGAAGTTATCTAAAAGGGAATGTATCAAGTAGTTCATTAATGAAACAAACTTTAGTAGTAGATAAGTCTGTTCTGACAATTCTTGATATATTTTTAGTAGAAGCGTACGTTGTTCGCTTATTTCACGGACGTAACTATAGCTTTGACAGTGATCCCCTAAACAAAAACAGAGCTCTAACATGAATAAAATCTATCATTTTCAAATTAAACTTTGCCTGCGACTACAACACGCAAAAACAATTATAATATATACTTATCTATAATATATAACTTAAGTTACTCTGAGTATGTGCCTTTAAATAAAAGTGGCAATGTATGTATTGTAATAACAATAAACAAAAGTAACAAAGTTGAAACTTCAAAGTACAAAATTTGGTCTTTTACGTTTTACGATTAAAAATTAACTATTTACAACATGGTTTATACATATATACGTACGCATATATACCTACACATTTGTACAATATTTACATTTTTATCTTTTTTTATGTACTTTCTTGTTTTTTTTTTGTAACATAGGTAACTATTTCACATCTTATTGCAACTAATGAACATAAGTTCCGATGATTTTTTTGTTGTAAGCCGAGTTCTTCTTTCGTTCAGCGTTAACCCTGCTTTAGAAAGGACTCGCTCGCAAGGAACAGATGTTGCCGTGATATTTAGGCATTTTAGCATATATCTGTGGAGGACGTTCCCTCCACCACTGCAGCGGATCTTGATGCCGGCTGATCAACTGCTCCTGTAAATATTTATCAAATTCCACGATTCCGGCTGCATTTCTAGTATCAATCGCGAAACTTCGACATCGAAGTCCTCCCAAGTTGAGCATGTTTTAGAAGGACCAGGGGTCGGTTCTACGGGCACTGGATTGTTCGCTGTGTCCTCATTGGGCAAGACAATTCTACCCATTTTCATTCTGAGTGCCGCTGCGGCAGTATTGAAGTTGGTAGTATCTCGAAATCCAGTTTTTAAAGCGTGGGTCTAAGATAGTAGTTTCACTAAGCAGGACATGTTTTTCGATATCGCCGAATCTACGTCTCATCTCGAATTTTAAGGACCCACTAGTTCTTCAATCGCTACGTAAGTCTCTGCAGAAGATTTTTCTATTTGCATAAACAGCTTGCAAAAAACAATATATTTTAAAGCGGAGACATATTCTCCTTCACTCACTTCATTGGTGACCTCGTAGAACACCTTTAAAATAGGGATCGCTTTTTCTATAATCGCCCACTCCTCTTGTGACAGGGCTAAATCAACCTTCATAATTGCCACAGTAGCAGTCACAGCATCTTTAATCTTCAGTAGACGGTCCAATATATCGTAAGTAGATTTCCACCGTGTACTTAAGTCCTGTTTCAATTTGAGTGCCCAATGTTCATTTGAACCTGAATTTCTTTAAGTTTTTTAGCCCCAGGCTGACTACGATGAAAGTATTCGACTAATTGCTTAACTTTTGTCAGTATGTGTGCAATTTTGCCGATACTGTCTTGCACAGCTAAGTTAAGACTGTGGGCGAAACAGCTAATTGATCGCCAACCACCTGTTCGCACTGCGCTCAAAATGTTAGCGGCGTTGTCGTTGACAATCGCGCCAATGTTATTCTCAATGTTCCATTCTGTGAACTTTCGCCTCAGAAAATCTATACAGATTCTTGATAGATACTTTGATCAAAATTAGGGGCATTCCATAGTGACTGGTGGGACAGTTTACTCCAGAATTCCTAATGTTTAGACCTGTAACTTACTATTTTGATTTAATATAAATGATCAAATAGATATTTTATAGTTATTATGAACCAATTTATGAAACTCATACCGAAAAATATAAATTATGAACATATTTGGATGATATTTTAGCAGTTAAAGGAAGGTGACTGGTGGGACAGTCAAAAATATCTCACCTCCGCCTTTTGCAATGTCAACCAAGATTTTAGCCCAAATACTATATATAGCACGACGTCTTTAGCTATGCTATAAAATGATTGAATATACTACTACATAAACTGAAAATTAGCACCAAACTTATTTTTTATAAGAAAATATAAAAAAAGGAAACTGTGACTGTTGGGACATCGTTTTGGGACTGGTGGGACAAATACGAAATCGGTTAAAAATGAACTCATTTTATGTCATATTTAGAATTATTTATTAAGACAATCATAACAACGAATAATATGTATTATTAAAATCTTCGAAAAAAAAAATGAACGTATTTCGTGTGCTTCATTTACTTTGGGAGCTTCAAGATTATGGACATTGGTGTTAGATTCATCATCAGTCGAATGTACATCCGAATATTTTAGTTTTCCATCTTGAATTAGTAGAACTTTTCTCTTAACTTGAGATGTTCCAGTCAGTGCATATGTAATGCTTTTATTCCGGGCTTTAAAGTGATGATGCTTTTGTATTAAAGGTATGGGTTTTATATGTTGCCATCTTTCGTCGAGGGTATCTTGCACAGGTTTTATATCCCCGATTGCAACAAAGAATACTCTGAGACCAGGAGCATTAGCTGCCAAAGAATGGTAAAGTTTCTGCAAAATCAACTTGAATCACAAGTTCCGAATCTGTACTTTCAGAAACCATTTGTTTGTAAAACTTGGATTGTGCGTCTTTTGCAAATGCATGGTATTTGAATTGAGGGGTCTGGTTTATTATCTCTGTAATTTTATTATTAGTAAAACTATAAAATCAGTAACAATCACCGTTTACTTCCAATTTCTGGGTTTCTTACAAAATAGTGGTTTTACAATCATCATTGAAGAACACAATGTCCTATCACAAGTTGACAGCTTTAAGCGCGGGAAATTACCATAGATACAATCAAAATAGGCAACCACAGATACATATGTTATGTACCCCTTGTGGCTGGCTGCGGTGACGTCGTTGAAAATAAAAGAGACCTTAACTTTATAAGTCTTTTTATTTATTCCACTGAATTTACAGTATTTATCAAACTTGGCGGCACAGATATTATGAGGTTTTAATGAGGCGAATGACGATGAGAGGTGTCTATACTAAGACAGATAGTATACAATTATATTTTAATGCTGGATTTCAGGGGTTTATATACTCCTGATGTTTTGTATTAATTACGTTTTACAATATTGCTATCAGTTTTAAATTGACCCTTAATATAGTTCAAGTCGTACACATGTCGCGGCATCTTTTTAGCATAGTAGATGATTAGGAGTGACCTTTCAGGTCACTGCCAAAATAATTGATTAATTAGAAAAAAACAAAACTATTAGCGATGATTTATGGTTTTGATAAGATGATATTTGCGTAAGTGAACTACTTGTTGGTCACGTAGACCATTACTTAGAAATGATATCGGGATAGGGTGCGTACATAACACCTCCCTCCTTAAAACTAAACAATGGGTTTATGAACATAAACAATTGTTTAGTGATACTGACAATATCTCAGATTACAATTTTACAAGATTACAATTTCCTTAAACTTAAATGATTAACATTTTCTTATCTTAAAATTAATGATGATTTACATATAATTCTTTATAATCTTTTAACAATACATATAATTTTTTTTTTATTTATTTATTACAATTATAATTTTTGTTATCTATTTTCCCAATAATATCCCAAAATAAAAGATATAAAACTTAAAATTAAACAATATTCTTACAATTATAATATCGTATAATTATTTATTAAAATATTATGACATTTTTTTTTATAATTATTTTCATTTATATTTCATTTTATTCAATTACTTAGATTATAAGAATACCTTACATCTGAAGAACTTGGTATTCTTTTTGGTCTTAGAGGAGTTCTCGTAGTAGGTTCATCAATTATTACTTCATCTCGAGTGGTAATATATCTAGCATCTTGCATTTCGAGCCTAGGTGTAGTTGATATACTTTCGTCTTTATTATAACAATTATTAAATATTCTGATACAACATCTATTAGTACATTGATTATTATAATCATGGTAATCATCTTCTGATGGTTGAATTCTGGCGCTTCTTCTAAACTTTTTGCATAATTTGAATAAAAAGAAGAGCGTTAAAAATCCACAAATCGTATATAAAAGATAGGGTATGTGTACATTATTATGGAGATCATATCGAGCTTTTTCTCTAGTAGTTATTTGTTCTTCAATTGAATGCAGCTTTACAGAAGCTAAATTAAGATCATCTAATTGTATGTTGTTGATATGAAATGGAGTAAATAAATGTTTAGTTTTATTCAGAACTGCATCGTTGCAACAGTCATCTTTAGTTAAATCAATATCAATACTTGGGGAAGTATAATTGGTTATGATATCACTAGTTGCAGTGATTTGAATTAAATTTGCGTATCCTTTACAATCTCTATCTAACTTTATTATACCTGTTGAAGATAACTCATAATCTTTTAGTTCTTTGCCCGAGCAATCAATAGTAATTTTAGTTGGTTTTTAATAAATAAATATCCATCTGTTATTGGTTAATTTTTGCCATATCTCGACATTACCATACATGAAAGTTCATGTAGTAAATAAATAAATGTTTAGTTACCTAAAGAATGACCTAAAGAATGTAATACATTCTTTAGGTAACTCTTTTAAAACTAGTAATTAATAACGATTCACATGAGGGGTTAGACATTGCAGAATATTCATTTAAATCTTGACATATAAAATGTTCTCTTGAGAGTTTCTTACATTGATCAAGGTTATTAAATTGTACATATGAATGACGGTTAGTAGTTATACCGAGGTATCTTTTAGTTGGTTGGACAAGAGCATAAGTTAAATCTTGAAAAGTATGAGGTATTGGAAGTGGAAGTACGTGATATAGTTCGTACTCTTGAGAAGTTACTAATGGGATGTTCAAAACAAAAACTAATTTAAAATTCATATAGAATATATTAAGTGTTGAAATATCTATGAGTATATGAATATCTTCTAAAGTGAGTCTAACTGGGAATTCTTTGTGTTTTAGAATTTTAATGTTGCTGGTTAATTCGTGATAAATTTCTTTTGGGGATATTATATGAGGGTGCAGTACATTCTGCTTAGCGAATAATATAGAATTTACTATGAGATCAATTTCTTCAATTATCATAGCTGACAAGGAATTTAGAATGCTAAAGTGTGTATTTAATGTTGATCGAACATCTGTAATAGAGACGTTTGAAGCTAAATTGTCCATAAAATCTTTGAGTGCTAGGAAGTTTTTATCTAAATCTTTTTCATTCTGTGTTAGTTTTCTAATAGTATTATTGAAGTTTTGTATCGCTGATTGAGTTACTTGAACTTGACTTTTCATTATAGTGTAAATTTCTTTTTCATCGTCTAGAACTTTATTAATAGCGTTATCATAAAATATAGCATCATCGTTATCGAGAGTACCAAATACAGTTTTTAGAACAGAACTGAGTTCATCGAACCATCCTCGTTTTGCTCGCCCTGTGCTCGTAAGATGAGCTAGAGATTCATAAAGTGAAACTATTTTATCTAAATTTCTTTCTACTGTTGCTAATCGTTTCTTACATTTGAGACTAGAACTTATCTGCTCTAAATCGTTACAATGAGTAATTGTATATTTGCATCTAGATTCTAAAAGTCTTATCGCCTTTGGGATGTTTCCAATGTCCTTGAATGTTATTAACTTCCAATCGTCAACATGTATCTTCAGTGTTCCCGTTCTATCAAAATATAATCCTGATCCATTGGTAATAGTAGTAATTTCTCTCAATGGAAGAATATCTCTTACGTCGTCACATGCTTCACAGTCACTAGTCATGCACTTTTCTTTAGTTATATCGCAACAAATAAGATTCAGGAACTGAGCTGTGGAAATTGGTAGTGTTGGAAGATGCTTGTTAAGTTCTTCTAATAAAAACTTATAATTTGCGTGGTAGCTGCACACACATACATTATAAGGGATCTCACTCATTGGTCTAACGTGGAGGGGTCTCAATTCAAAAATTTTGCTCTTCCCCAGTTTTATATTGGGATGTTCAATTTTAAACAGGGCATAGGCTTCAGTAATGGTCATCATTAAGTGCCTTTTAGCAACATGAGCACGTTGACTATCTTTATTTTTTATTGATATTGTGTCCTTCTGGTTAGGAGACGGCCGGCTTATGTCATCTTGCTCATAAAAATGTATTACTAACTTCTTTATCTCATCCGTTATGGCTGAAGTTTTAACTGTTTTAGTACATTGATGCATAGCCCCTGTTGGTACAATTTCCTTTATCACGTGCATCAGTACAGCTGCCTTTTTGGTTGGACTTTCTGGAAGAGCTTTTCTTACTTTGACGACTGCTTTTTTTAAAGTATTTATCGTCTTTTAGGAACCCAACGGCGAATCACATGTCTTCTTGATTCCCTCTAACTTTTTCTTTTCTCTTTGTTTCTTTTTACGTAGCCTTTCTTTCTCTCTCCACTGAATTCTAAAAGACTCATTACTTTCACGTAAAGCTTTATCCTTTTCTCGGCGTTTTTTATCATACTTTTTCTGGTTGTCTTGAGCTGTCTTCCACTTACTTTCATCACTTTTCAACTTTTCCCTAGATTTCCTTTTTCGCTCAGCAGCATTCATCTAAGAACCAGAAAACACAAACACACTCACAAAAAAGCATATAAGCATGTTAGAAACACGTTAGAAATGATTAGAATCAGTCCATAGCAAGTAGTGAATGCAATCCCGCCCCAATATTTCAATCCCGGTATTTGCGGGACTAAGGGTCCTCAGTCCCGCGGGATCCCGGTATTTGCGGGATCCCGCATGATGTTGAAAGTCTTAAAGCAAAGTGATAGGAACCCTGTATCATAAATGCATGTACTTAACAAAAACTGTATGTAACTAAAAATTAAACAAGAAGTGATATTCAAAATAATGTATTGAAAGTTAAACATACAAAATAATTAGTTTAGGCATTATTTTGGAAATAACTGCGCATGAAACAAAGTACGTTGATAGTTTCATCTGCCAAACGACTCCTAACTTTACACGCCAGATAGCCAGCTGCAGAAAACGCTCGCTCTGCTTCCACGCTTGTTGGTACAACGGTTAGTAAAGAGTTGTAGGCGAATTGGAGGTATGTGCCTTTTGATCCACCAGACTCAAACAAATTCATTTCTTTCTTAATCAAAGCTTCTAGAGAATGAACTCTAGAATGAGGAGTGCGACAAGCAGTTTTAAAACTCGATAGAGTTTGTTCGAGTTCATCACGAAGAGACATCGGTTCAGGCTCCGTAGTTTCTTGCATCATTGCGGCCACTGTAGCAAGAGGTACATCATCGTCATCTTGAGTAGAGGTTGAAGGCGTCATATACACATCAGATGAGGTTAACGCTGATTCTGTGTGTCCGTCTCTGTTACTGAACTGTAATCTTTCTATGATTTTTATAATTTCTTTGCGGACTACACTCTTTGTAGGTAACTTGAAAGTTTCGTCGTTCATAAATGCAATTAGATCTTCTTCGTACTTGCCAGGGTCATGTAGGTACAATAAAGCTGCAGTCATGTTGGTGCGTCGCTCTGTAATGCGTTTTCTCAATGAGGTAGCAAGTTTTTTAGCCAAAGGTGTTTCTTGTCCTTCTAATTTGCTAATCACGAACTTCAGAGTAGATTCTGCTGTGATGAGATTCGTCTCACGCCGGCACAAAACTTCGACAGCTAGTTTCACAGGCTGGAATACTCGTTCCAAATCCGTCAATACATTATATTCTTCTTCATTGAAGAAGTACTCTGGATTTGACGCCAACCCTACATCGATCAAAGTTTTAGAGACGCATAGTTTGACCCTATTGAATGTAGTTATCATCTGTGAAAGGCTCGACCATCTTGTTTTACAGTCTAGCATCAGTGTAACGCTTTTTCCCAAGTCATTCATAATATATGCCTGCAATAAATCATTTTTGGTCGGCGATTTCTTGAAAAGTTTGACCACTTTTCGAATTTTTTGTATTACACTTGAGTATTCTAAAGACAAATCTACTTCTCTTGTGGGAAGAACTAGATGAAAGCCACTGTCCTCAACTTCATCATCATCATCAGAGTCTATGTCTAATAAATCACTCTCTACCCTAGATTCATCCAACCTTACCTCGTTTTGTACATTTATTTCGTCTTGTGATGTTTCAGATGAATCTGGTTTATTGTAAACGACATCAATTACAGCAAGTTGAACTCCATGAGCATAACAAAGTTGTTGATCGGGCTTAATGAGACGGCCAACTTTTACCATGACCTTGGCACCGTCTGTGGTAATATTGACGACATCTTTATCAAGTGATACATCATACTCTGAAAGTTTTTCTGTTAAAATCGTTACACAGGATTGTGCTGGCAAGCTTCCAAAAATACGCACCAGGCCCAAGTTCCAAAAAATAGGCTTACCATCAAATGCGTGTATATTTACATTTAGGAAGCGCCTATTCCTCGAGGAAGTCCATTCGTCGAAGGTGAGAGTAAAACGATGACCGGTTTCTTTCAACTTCGATAAGTCTTGAATAACTTTCATTTTCAGAGTCATACCAAAATTCATTACCATCAGTTTTATCGAGTTTGGAGATGAAGGTAATTTATAGCCGCCTGCTATAAAGAGATCTCGCAAGTCTGAGGACGTGCAGAAAACACTAAACGGTAGGCCATCCTTTGAAACCATCCGTGACACCTTCTGCTCTACGGTATTATTTTCTCTATGAAAATGATCAGTAATTTTGTGTTTTTTTGCCGACGAAGCTGAAGAAGAAGAGTAGGCATGGGCATCATCTTGTGTATCTGGTGTAGAAAGTGACGGTGCCGAGGAATTAGACGTCGATGTCTCTGAAGCATTGTATTGTTCCTTTATTTTATTATACATACGAGTAGACCCCAAATGGCCTGCAACTGGAATGTCGTGGTTTTCGTATAGAATCTTTTTTATCTCGGTTGGTGATGGGTATGTAATATTATTATGATAAATGTTGACTGTAATATTCATATTGTGGAAAAGATATAATATAATGTTGTATATTTTAGTGAAGAAATGTACTTCAAAGGCATTTCTGAAGTCTGAGATATTAACATCAGTTACGTCTCCTGTAGTGACAATCGTGTCACGTGTTTGTTTAATGGTATTGAGTATTTCGGGGTATGAGGTTACGTCAAAATGGTTTATACTCTTGTATATAAAAGGAAATAAGTTTTATTGTTTAACTGGATTCTACTATGGGAATGGAGTTCCTTTTTAGTTTCTAATATTTCGTCGAGATTTCCTAGGTTGCCCAGGATTTCTTGGATGTACGGGTTTGATTCGTCGAGATCAATTAAGGTAGGTATGAGGACTATTTTTGATTTACTTTTTGTGAGATCCTCATTATACTCAATAATTTGGGTGTTTAGAGGTTCTTTCTTGTTAATGGTTTTCAGGTATTCGGAGTAGTCACCAGTAAATTTTGGTGAATTGTGTGAAGAGGGAGATGGCTTGAGATTCTACAGGTGATCTAGAAAGAGAGGGGTTTTCATCTGTGGCTGGACTATAGGAAATTGATGGTAAGTTACTATTTTCTAGGAGACCGACAGACGGTAAGTCGTCGTTATCTAAGTTAAGACGGCTAAATGGAAGGCTGACATCAACGTCTAAATCGCCTAATGTAATGGGACTAAATGCTGGTGATGATTCCTGATTAACCGGGTTAAGGTTGGCCATGTCAAGAATTGCGGTATCTTGGGATGAGGTGGATCTTATTATGGGATTCACTCCAGGAAGTAGTACGTCTCGTACTGTGGAAGGGTTCTGAATATATTCTTGATTCGGAGTTACGTCGGGACTTGCATCATTTGTGACTGGCTGGACAGGGTTCACAGGGAACCGAGATAAAGCATCGGCGTTAACATTCGTTTTTCCTTTCTTATATTGTATATCGTATTCAAATTCCTCTAGTTTAAGACGTCAACGAACTAGTCGTGAACCAGGATCTTTACAGTTAAATAGCCATTGAAGAGGTTTATGATCAGTAATGATTCTAAATTTATTTCCATAAAGGTAAGGCCGGAAGGTTTTTGTAGCGAAGACTATTGCCAAACATTCCTTCTCTGTCACGCTGTAATTGTTTTCTGCCTTGTTCAAAGTGCGTGATGCAAATGCGATTGGGCGGTCTTGTCCTACTGGACCTTGAGACAAAATCGCTGAGATAGCGTAGTTTGAGGCGTCGCAGGTAAGGAGAAATGGTAAGGTAAAATCTGGGTACGATAATAAAGGTGTTGATATAAGTTTATTCTTTAGAGTTTCAAAGGAGAGTTGGTGTTCATTGCGCC